GGCACCGTCCAAGGACAGATGCACACCAGACAAAAGGACTATTCCGTACCATTCCCTGACATACACCACAATAAACCCATACACTCAATATCCGGCACACAACCTTCCGACGGCTCCCTGCAAAAAACATTACCCACATCAAACACCTTGCAAACCAGTCAACCTTTCCAATTCAGGCATCTAATCACTCCAATAGGACACACCACTGAAGAGAACAACCCCTTTCCTCCTCACCCCGACACCAAGCGGAGTAAACGTGCAGCAGTAAGTCCACGATATCCCTCCGGAAAACTAGTAACCCACCATCCCCCATATAATTGTTTGTTCCTACACGCTGTCCTATAAAAACACGCCACCAACGCTTTTATCCTAATGTTTCCCTCCACCTCCCTCATCCCCCAAGAGACATACAAGTAATTAACTATTATGTATCTGATCGCCCTCCCCACCTCGTTGGGCACCCCTCTCATATCTAACATTAAAGCCCTAAGGGGTGATATCTGACCTCTCCCCAATAAAAGGAAAACTCTCTTCAACCACAGTCTTCCAACCTCCAAAGCAGAACAAAAATATACTACATGTAAAGCAGTTTCAACTTCCCCACAAAAACCGCATGACGTCTCTCTCACAAAACCCATTTGTCTTAGCACCTCTTTCGATGCCAAAGTCCCCATAAGAAATCTATATACTAATTCCCTCACTCTTGCCTGTATTCTTAGTTTACTAAACTCCACCCACATCACTCGCCAATCATATGTGGGATACACTGCCATCCCCTGCAGTAATTCCTTACGACGACCCACTCCCACCAACCGTTTTACCTTGAGTTTTTTAACATTGCAAACCTTTATCATAAACCTCAACATATCTTCACACTCCACTAAGTCCCTGCCACTCCACCATTTGCGGACATCCCCCATCACCTCCCCCACTCGAAGACCCCTTTCCCCCCCTGCCCGAATATACCTCTGCTTAACATACAGCACCTTCACCCTAGATCCCAATGCCATCAATCCCAATCCTCCCTGTCTTACCGCAGTCATTACCACAACTTTGCCCAACCATGCCCTCCCAAAACCCCACACATACCTTAATACTCTCCTTTGTAATTCCATAATATCCTGACTTCATAAGGGATAAATTTCCGCCACTCCCCACACCTTACTATAAATCAGCGTATTTACCACCACAACCCTTTGATACAAGGTTACGTCCCCAGCCCGGAAACTCCTAAGCCTACTCAAAGCTCTGTCCATTACCATTTCTGAATTAACCCTCCTGCTCTCCTGTGCATCTGCCAAATACAAAATCCCACAAATCTTGAGCCTTTCTACAGTTATCCAGCCAAACTCCTCCCCCAAGGTCCTGCCTACCCAAGCGCCTAACCCCAGCAACCGTGATTTCTGCTTATTAACTCTCATCCCAGTAGCATTCCCAAAAATCTCAAGTACCCTTCCCACCTTACTTAAATCTTCTATCTCATTAAGTAAAACAGTTGTATCATCTACATAAACCACAATATTCCCACAAAAGCCTCCACTCTCCCCCATCCCTCCTGTCCCACCATCAACAAGCACATAGAAAGGATTCTGCATACATGCAAAGAGTATTTGGGAGAGCGGACACCCCTGCCTTAAACCTCTCCCCATGCTTACAGGACTACCCAACCTACCATTTACCTGTACTCTCATCGATGCATCAGCATACAATGTCCTCACCCATCCCACCACCCTCCCTCCAAAACCCATTCTTACCATACTCTCAATCAAAAAATCCCTATCCACGTAATCATAAGCATTCTCCCAATCCAGACCTAGAATACCGCCCTCACTACTACCCTCGATGAAATCCCTTAATACGTCCATGACCTACCCGCATACTCCTCCCAGAATTCCAAACTGTCCCCCATGTATCACCGACCCCATGACCTTCTTCAGTCTATTGCCTAAGATTTTCACAAAAAACCTTGTAATCTGCGCACATCAGAGATATTGCTCGATAAGCACTCAAAACTCTTCCCCCCCCCCCCTCTGCTTTGGCACCAAAACTATGACACCCGTACTTTGCGATTTGCTCAACTTCCCACTAGTTAACATATGATTCAATACCCCAACAAAGCATTGCCTAATACACCCCCAATGTGCTCTATAAAAATCATTTGGTATACCGTCCATTCCCGGTGTTTTTCCGGTACTCATCCCTAAAACTGCCTCTTCCACCTCAACCTCACTTATACCACCCTCCAACCCCACTCTATCCTGCTCACTTAAAACACTATGGAACCCCCCTCCAAAAATTCCCTCCCAGGAACCCCCCTCCCTCCTACTCCATTTCTCCCTAAACCAACTATCAGCATAGAGACTCATACTTTCCGTATTGGATAGGACCCGACCCTCTGGGTACCCTCCCACCCCAGGGCTTATTTCCAATTGTAATATGGTGGTTACCATCTGACGTTCTCGAAATTTACGTATAAAAAACCGGGATGGCTTATCACCCCACAATACATCGTCTAACTCCGCCCTAACCCTGATTGCATCAAACCTATCATTGTGTAATTCAGCTATTCTACCCCGAAGACTATCTCTCCTACCACCTCCCCCATCATAACAGTCTTGCAACTGTCCCTCCAGATAATTTTGCAACCCATAATGCCACCTCGCCTCTTCTCGTCCCCTAACCTTAAAATCACTGAAAAAAGACCCCTCCCTCTCCTCCTTAAGAAGCCTTACGTTTAATTTCCAGTACCCAGAATAAATACACACTACTGCATCCCAGATCAGATCTGCAATCACCGCCCTGTGATCAGAAAACCCCACATCGAAGGCTCTCACCCTCACCACATCTATACCCTGCTTAACATAGATTCTGTCCAATCTCGCCTCATATCCCCTATGGACCAACTTATGCTTCACTAGGTATCCCCCCCTCCCCACCACATCAACAACCCCAACATCCCACAATACATCCCTCAGAACACTCGACACGCATTATAATCAAAAAGAAGCGCTAAGCCACAAGGGCTATACAGCGCTGACTCGACACACAACCTGCCCCTCTCGGTTCAACATCACCACTCCGTATCACACAATTCCAATCACCTCCTATTACTGTTATAGCAGGTAAACCTCTCAAGTGATACAGCAAGACCTCCCTGACAAAATCTACTTTTACCCTGGTATTGCTAGTTGCTGGCATGTAAACACCTACGAAACTAGCCCGACTCTCACCCAGACACCATCCACCCTCACTACCCTCCCACCCCCCTCTTCCCAACCCATGACACGTAAGGGGCTGGTCTCCTTTACCGCCACTGCTACCCCACCCTTCAATTGCAAACCACTGCTAACATACATCCGATATCCTTTCAACCTCAACTCACATCCAGCCCTGTGATTATGCTCTTGCAAAAAAACAAATGTCGACATCAAACCTCCGTAAAAACCACACCAACCAAACTTTCTTGACCTCTGTCTTAAGGCCATGATTTCTTCCCCGGCCTCTGCCCCGGGGTGATGACCTCATCTATCTCTGACACTGTAGTTCTTTTCCTAGAACTTCCGCTTACATACATATCACCATCAAGCGAATCCTCCTGGTGTACCTCCACGACCACCACAAGCTCCAGTCCTTCCTTACTCAAGGCTCTCTCCCAGTTTTATTGTCCCTCCTGTGCTCCGTCCTCACATAAACTGAAGACGCCTTCTGCACAGGACTCCTCCCCATCCAAAAAATCCTTGATCACATCTGCCAATAAACCATCCTGGGTCGAAGCTTCCTTAACTAAAGACTCCTCAGGTGTCACCGTCTCCCCCGACGCCCCTGGGAGAGTGACACACGTCTCCGCCGCCGCCGCTGCCACCTCCCTTTTGACCTCCTCGCTCCAGAGGTCAGGCCTCCGTCCTCCCGAAGCACCAGAGTCAGGCACCAAATCTCACGTCTGCTGAATCACAAAATGGAGGCCCCAGAACTCAAGGAGCCTGCCTCCGAGGACACTGGGCTGCCATGTGCTCATAGGAGCTACACAAACGACATGTTTTCCTCTGACCAGCATAGTACACAAAAACCTGTGTCCTATAACCGGTCATCGTAACGTAGGATGGTATAGGCCTTATTAAAGAATTTTGAGGGTGTAAGAACCCTCCGGCAGCCGTTCATACGGAACATCCCTCCACACTCCCATGGTTGCAGAATGCACTGTCCCATAACTGCTGAAAAACTCCTGTAGACTATACGCTGTAACCTCGAAGGGTACATTTCGTACCTTCACCCACGTGAAGTACTTAGAGACGTCATGTAAAACGACCTCCACCGCTGAATTCACACTCACATGTTGTTCCTGGTAATTCTCGACGATTCTTGTGTAGAAGCCAGCTCGTACAAATTTCACGAAGATTTTTGTCAAACCAATCAGAGCAACGCCATATAATTCCTCATTGGGAATACCTTATGCATCTCTTATGATGCCAGGGAGAAGGACGTTCATCGTAGCGCCACTTAATGTGCCACGAACCAGCTCAATGCAGACAGTATTTACTCTCCGTCCTGTACGTTCCGCCATTTTGGTATCCAAGTACTCAACTCACCACTATGTGGCAAAATGTGGTAGTCTCGGAAAGCGTCCTCTCACCCCGCAGGTTGAGACGAATGGTCTCTATTAAATCTACGCTCATACTTGTGAGGTTTTGAATTGTGACAAGTAACTAAAATACGTCTTTGATCTGTTCTAAACTGTATAGCCACTTCATAATGAAATGTTTGTTGAAAACGGATTCCTGAAACATAATAATTATCTATAAATTGGCGTCACATGATGGATGCCAGCCACATCTAGTGGTGGTAAACAAAACTATTTGTAAATTCCTAAGAAAAGAAATCATAATTTGCATAATAAGAAAAATAGCACAATGTCAGTAATATAAGTTATGATAATAAAATAATGACAAGTAATAACGAAACAAAAGCGACAATTCTAGCAACTTAACAGGCACTGTTGTAGTAATTCGTTACTTTCTTAGTAAGTGTGGGAGGTAATGAGGTAACCCGCAACTCTTACTGCTTCATTCTGCTGATCTTCTCTCCAACAATAACATCACCTAGACACAGCTAAGGTAAATGCACTTCAAATAAGCATATTGGATGTTTTATTTACGCAGCTAAACTAAGTGATATACTTGCTTTTATTTTTCAGTTTTTAAGTAATTGTTAATGGAATAGTTTAACGAAAGCTAGCGAGTTTTGAGTTATATTTCTGTATTGGTACATAATTTTTCCCACGGCAGCAATTAAACTAAGATGTTGCATTTGCTATTTTCTTAGTTACTCCTGAAAGCTTACTGTGTCAGTGAAGTTCTTTTAAAGCGTGTAATCTTACAGCTATTATGAAGCTGTAATTAATCTTGCCTCACTAGTCCTTAGTATGCAAGGTACTGACGAGTAATCACTTGCGTTAATGTTCTTAAGACCTACTGCTAGGCTAGAATTTAAATTTTACTTTTTAAAACTTTTTGTTTATAACTAAGTCCACTACACCTACGTCAAAATTTAACTTTCTTGGTGGAGTTGCACACCTTCAATTACAGGAACTAGTTATTTATTAGGCAAAATAATCTTCAACTGGCTCCTCTCACTATACCACCAAATTTTTTTTTTTTCCCCCATTCTAAACTTCCATGCCTCTTCCTAAAACTGCATTGCATAATGCATTGTCAAAGTTCTTCACAAATTTTATTTTCTGAACTTTGTTACAGATGGCTGCCCTCTTGCTTCTAGTCTTCGGATACATGACCCTGGTAAGCCTAATTTTTTTTTTTTTTTTTTTTTTTTCCCCAAAATATAAACTATTCTTTACTATATTATTTTGTTGGCAGATTCGGGGCCAAGCAGTTCCTACCTACGATCCTCATTTCCCCCTCCCACTTCCCGTACAACGTACCTCTACTGTGACTGAAGAGGCAAGTGTAATAAATATGTATATATAATGTATATAATACACGTGTGTATATATCTAATTTTACTCTTATTTTACTCTAATTTAGTTACAAGAAATTCCTTTTTTGTAGACTACTGTAACTCATACACTGAGGGAAACCACCACTTCAGACGTGTGGGTAACTGATCAAACAGTTGTCACATTCACTGTCACACAAGCATCCACTGTATGGGACTTCTTGCCTCAAGAGCCACGAACAGTAACCTCTGTCATGAGGATCACTTCCACACCGGTAAGAATTTTACCGTACACAATATTAAGATTCTCCTTTCCAATACGTGGTTTTCCCTAATTCCTTTCCACAAGATTGCTGATGCTAACTCGGTTTTAATTAACTTCCACTTGCAGGTAGTGGTAGTGACCGCTACAGCAGTAACTAACCCAGTGAGAACAATGGTGTCGGTCTTCAGTCAGTTCGTCACGGTTACAGACACTGTGAAATACTTGCAAACAATAACTCACGTTGCACTCTCGCACGAGGTACTGAAACTTTTCTTTTTAAAAGTCCAGGCTGAGCTTTAGATATGTTTAAACGGGTAATTAATTTTGCCTTAATTTCCCTACAGATTCAGACTGTTCCTGTCGTCAGTACACAAGAACTCCTACAAGAGATAATAACTACCGTTACGCAGATTGTAACTACCACAGTTACTTCGACAACTGCTCGCTTCTATAATTAAAATCTTGTTTGACCTGATGGATGAATGCTTAAATCACTCGCAATTACTGTAATTAAATTATTCAAAATTCTTAACACTTTCTGTCCCCCCGATCTTTAAGCAGGTAGTGCGCAGGACTGCACAAAATCAGCTTTCCCAATCTTTTTTTATAACTAATCATAGGCCTTTTATTCTACAAAGTTCCACCTGATAACTTCGTAACCACTACACAACAAATTAAGGCTAATGGCTTGCTTCAGAGTAGCCTGCACTTCAGAAAAGCAGTAAAAGTATGGCACTGTGCCACTACAAAAGCTCTACATTTACTAATTCACACAAATTTACATTTTATAGATGTATTATCCTGTTCCTGTACAGGAACTCTTTGGGCTCCCCGTGTCAAAGTTTGACCCCCGTATTAACGCTTCGCCCGATGCAAAGCCGGAAGCTCGCCCAATCGCAACGTACATAGGCCCATAATCCTTAACATTGCTTGGTAGCCTGTAATTTTGAGCTCGGACGAACGCTGTTGCGGAAATGGCTAGGGATACGGCTAAGACTGGAATAACCCTGTATGAAACTTTAAAGTACTGCTGACCACACAGTCGGCTTGCTAGTTTCCCCTTAATGTCTACATGAGGTACCCAGCAGATTTCCTTTGTCTTTACTAGAAATTTGGTGTAACCAAAATTTTATACGAAGCTCTTTGATAACTTGTAAGTCACTGTCTTAAACTAGCAGATGTTTAAAGATTGGACATGATAAAAATAATAAAGAATTCAGAGATTCGGCTATAAAATGCTCTAATAATTCACCTCGAAAGTCCTGGAACCATGAAGTTCTAAAGGGAAGGTCCTTGATGGTTTGCCATGGGATCTGTCCAGTCCCCCCCCCCCCTTAAGGAGTTATAGGGGTGGGGGGGCCCGCTTAATGTCATTCACGCGAGAGGTGTCTGGAAGCAGGCTTGAGCTTCTGAGAAAGGATAGCCTAAGGAATGCCTTGTGGTAGGCATCTAACTGCCCTCTTCAGTCTAGCGAGGTCACTGTGGATGTGGCGCTGCTACCCTAGTTTGCTGGTGTTCCAGCATGAAGGGTAGGGTATGACGTGGGTTCCATGAAATTTCTACACTGAGGGCCCTTTTGGGCCTGGAAGAGGATATAAAATGCCTTTCATTCCTCCATCCCACTTAAATTGGTTTCAATAAAATATGGGTATGGACACCAATGACCAGCCTCGTGGACCATTTACTGCAGGAATTTTCCATCCTTTCCCCCCCCCCCCCCCCAACAGACCTTGGCATGCCTTCGGACCATTCTGCAAACCCAGTACATTCTCAGGGTAACTTTTAGTTACCATCTGGTAATGCTGTTCTGACATGCCCTTTACCCTTCTGACTCTGTGCAGTTTTGATACCAGGTTATCCACTGTAGATTCACATAGTACACGACTAAAGACTGCCTGCCTCCAAACTACTTCAACCTGTCAATGACTACCCTACCAGTTTCCTCTAACCAACTTCTATTTTCCTAACCTGGAGAGAGTTCCGGGGGTCTACGCCCCCGCGGCCCGGTCTGTGACCAGGCCTCCTGGTGGATCAGAGCCTGATCAACCAGGCTGTTGCTGCTGGCTGCACGCAAACCAACGTACGAGCCACAGCCCGGCTGGTCAGGAACCGACTTTAGATGCTTGTCTAGTGCCAGCTTGAGGACTGCCAGGGGTCTATTGGTAATCCCCCTTATGTATGCTGGGAGGCAGTTGAACAGTCTCGGACCCCTGACACTTAATGTATGGTCTCTTAACGTGCTAGTGACACCCCTGCTTTTCACTGGGGGGGGATGTTGCATCGTCTGCTAAGTCTTTTGCTTTCGTAGTGAGTAATTTTAGTGTGCAAGTTCGGTACTAGTCCCTCTAGGATTTTCCAGGTGTATATAATGCATCTCCCCCGCCTGCGTTCCAGGGAATACAGGTTCAGGAACTTCGAGCGCTCCCAGTAATTGAGGTGTTTTATCTCCGTTATGCGTGCCGTGAAGGTTCTCTGTATATTTTCTAGGTCAGCCATTTCACCTGCCTTGAAAGGTGCTGTTAGTGTGCAGCAATATTCCAGCCTAGATAGAACAAGTGACCTGAAGAGTCATCATGGGCTTGGCCTTCCTAGTTTTGAAGGTTCTCATTATCCATCCTGTCACTTTTTCTAGCAGATGCGATTGATACAATGTTATGGTCCTTGAAGGCGAGATCCTCCGACATGATCACTCCGAGGTCTTTGACGTTGGGGTTTCGCTCTATTTTGTGGCCAGAATTTGGTTTACTCGGAAGATTTAATTTCCTCGTGTTTACCATATCTTAGTAATGAAATTTCTCATCGTTGAACTTCATTTTGTTTTCTGCAGCCCACTGAAAGATTCGGTTGATGTCAGCCTGGAGCCTTGCAGTGTCTGCAATGGAAGACAGTCATGCAGATTCGGGCGTCATCTGCAAAGGAAGACAGTGCTGTGGCTGACATCCTTGTCTGTCGGATATGAGGATGAGGAACAAGATGGAGCGAGTACTGTGCCTTGTGGAACAGGTTTTCACCGTAGCTGCCTCTGACTTTACTGTTGACGACTGCTGTGTTCTGTTAGGAAATTATAGATCCATCGACCTACTTTTCCTGTTATTCCTCTAGCACGCATTTTGTGCGCTATTACGCCATGGTCACACTTGTCGAAGGCTTTTGCAGTCTGTATATATTACATCTGCATTATTTTTGTCTTCTAGTGCATTTAGGACCTTGTAGTGATCCAATAGTTGAGACAGGAGCGACCTGTTCTAAACCCATGTTGCCCTGGGTTGTGTAACTGATGGGTTTCTAGATGGGTGGTGATCTTGCTTCTTAGGACCCTTTCAAAGATTTTTATATGGGATGTTAGTGCTATCGGTCTGTAGTTCTTTGCTGTTGCTTTACGGCCCCCTTTGTGGAGTGGGGCTATGTCTGTTGTTTTTAGTAACTGTGGGACGACCCCGTGTCCATGCTCCCTCTCCATAGGATGGAAAAGGCTCGTGATAGGGGCTTCTTGCAGTTCTTGATGAACACGAGTTCCACGAGTCTGGCCCTGGGGCAGAGTGCATGGGCATGTCATTTATCGCTTGTTCGAAGTCATTTGGCGTCAGGATAACATCGATAGGCTTGTGTTAACCAAATTTTGTGGCTCTCATAAAAAAATTCATTTTGATCTTCGACTCTCTGGTTAGCGGCTTGCTAAAAACTGAGTCATGTTGAGACTTGAGTAGCTCGCTCATTTCCTTGCTGTCATCTGTGTAGGACCCATCTTGTTTAAGTAGGGGCCCAATACTGGATGTTCTAGACTTTGATTTGGCATAGGAGAAGAAATACTTTGGGTTTCTTTCGATTTCACTTATGGCTTTTAGTTCTTCCCGCGATTCCTGACTCCTATAAGATTCCTTTAGCTTGCGTTCGATGCTTTCTATTTCTCTGACCAGTGTCTCCCTACGCATTTCAGATATATTGACCTCTTTTAGCCGCTCTGTTATTCTTTTCCGTCGCCTGTAAAGGGAGTGCCTGTCTCTATTTTACATCTACTACTCCTTTTTCTTAGAGGAATAAGCCTTGTGCATACATAGTGCCACCAAGTTAATCTGTTCTAGGCATACGTTGGGGTCTGTGTTGCTTAGTATATCTTCCCAGCTTATATCGGTTAGGACTTGGTTTACTTGGTCCCACTTTGCTTTTGTTATTGAAGTTGAATTTGGTGAATGCTCCCTCGTGACTAGTCTCATTGTCGGTCTGGGGCTCCACGCATACATGTCTGAACCTCAATTATGTTGTGATCATAGTATATTGTTTTTGATATGGTGACATTTCTTATCAGATCATCATTGTTAGTGAAGATGAGGTCTAGTGTATTCTCCAGTCTAGTAGGCTCTATTTGCTGGTTTAAATTGAATTTTGTGCAGAGATTTAAAAGCTCGTGAGTTTTCATCAGAGCTGCCTCCTGGTGTTAATGCAACAATATTATTTGCTATATTCCTCCAATTTAGGTGCCTTAAGTGAAATCCCCCAGGAGCAAGATGTTGGGTGCAGGAGCTGGAAGATTTTCCAGACAGTGGTCAATTTTTAACAGCCGTTCCTGGAATTGCTGGGATGTTGCATCTGGAGGCTTGTAGACTACCACAATGACTAGGTTTTGGTTCTCTACCTTTATTGCTAAAACTTCCACTACATCATTTGAGGCATTTAGCAGTTCTGTGCAAACAAGTGACTGCAGTGTACAGGCCAACCCTCCCCCCCCCCCTTTTGCCTGTTCACTCTGTCACATCTGTATAGGTTGTAACCTGGGATCCATATTTCGTTGTCCAAGTGAACCTTTATGTGGGTCTCGGTGAAAGCCGCGAACATTGCCTTTGCCTCTGCAAGCAGTCCACTGATGAAAGGTATTTTGTTTGTTGCTGGCTTTAGACCCTGTATATTTGCAAAGAAGAATGTCATCGGACTGGTGGTATTGTTGGTACTGGGGGGGATTTTTTTTCCGGCATTAGTATCTGTATCTGTTTGTTTGGAGTGGAGGCCATCGACTATGGTTCCACTCCAGGAATGACTGGATTTGGTGTACGATTTCTGCAATTTCCTGCCAGTTTTTTTCCTTCCTGGCACTAAAAACACCTCTCCCTCTTGAGTGGCTGTGGCTACCCAAGTTTTCCCATGGCCTGGATGTTTTGTATCTTTTTGTACCCTTTAGATGGTGTACCTGGCAATTTAAGTTATAGCAGTCTTTCCTGTACTGAAAAGGTACACATTTCAGGGTGAAAAAGTTTACAGGAAGGGAGTTTGCATTTTCCTGTTGTCATATGGGCATGGCATTTTCTAGGGTGGTCATAGTTGCACGTCCCGTCTGTTTTTCCAGATTTCCCATGTCTGTAGATACCAAATGCATAGTATGTGCACAGGCTTGGTTTCCGTTTGCCTTGGGTTTGTGACTGTATTCCCTGTTGGTGCATATTTCCCAGTCTTATTCCTATCCTCCCTAGCACCAACAATTGAGCTCCCACCAGTTGTTTTTGGTAATATATCTCCACTATAGCTAGTGGAGTCCT